AGGCCAAGGAAGAAACCATTGCTAAAGAAAAGACATAAAAAGGAACGACTGATCTTTGCCAAAAAGTACCTTGACAAACCACAATCATTCTGGGACAATGTTTTGTGGACAGATGAAACAAAAATAGAGCTTTTTGGCAATGCAAAGCAACAGTTTGTTTACAGACGGCGCAATGAAGTTTATAAGGAAAAGAACACCCTACCAACAGTTAAGCATGGTGGAGGATCCATAATGCTGTGGGGTTGCTTTGCTGCGTCTGGTACTGGAGGCCTTGACCGTATCACAGGAATCATGAAATCAGAGAATTATCAAGAGATTTTAGAGCGAAATGTCCTACCCAGTGTAAGAAAACCTGGTTTGAGCCGAAGATCATGGATATTCCAGCAAGACAATGACCCAAAGCACACATCCAAAAGTACACGGGAATGGTTTAAAAGGAAAAAATGGACTGTTTTAAAATGGCCAGCAATGAGTCCTGACCTCAATCCCATTGCAAATCTTTGGTGTGAGTTGAAATCTGCCATTGGGAAAAAGAATCCTGCAAACATTCAAGAGCTTGAACAAACTGCAAAGGAAGAGTGGGAAAAAATACCAGCTGAGAAGTGCAAGAAGCTTATAGATGGCTACAAGAAACGTTTGGAGGCTGTCATCACAGCCAAAGGGTGTGCAACCAAATATTAACAAGGGGTGCCTTTATTGCTGCACATGCTGTTTATTCTGTTTCTTCTTTAAAATTGCAACATGCAAGTTGAAAAACAATGTTTTTTTTGTTGTATTACTTTGGACCTCCAATTAAAAAATCCTGAAGATATAACTTTGGTACATTTACATTTATTTCTGAAGATATTGTACAGGTTATGCAAAAAAGGAAGGGGTGCCAATAATGGTGAGCAGGACTGTAATTGTACGAAAACCGTCAGATCGCTTAGAAAAGCACACGCAACCTAATCAGGTATAGGACCTACGATCCTGCAGTGTAGTGGCTCTAGCTCAAAAACTGCAGGACGAAAAACATTCAATTTTCTGAGTGTAGAATTATAATAATAAGAAGATTATGAAGAACAGTAAGTTGGCTTTTTCAAGCCAACTTAAAAAACATTAATAATGCTCTGTAATGTCCACATGATCCTTGTGGTCATTCTGACAGGCTATAATACACTCCGTGAAGCTTAAGAGGTGATTTGGCCTCAATTACTATATTTTTATTATATCTGGTTATACTATTCATTTCTTAATTTAAATCAAAATTTAAAGTCAGAATATTGTTTTAAACGCTGAGGAAAAGACTTATTCTGATGTAATCTACAAATTATTATTTTTAAGATATACAGAAATACAGAAAAAAAATCTATGTTTTGATGACACTGTACTCGTCTTAGCGCTCATCTTGCTACAAAGACAACTACAAGAATTGATGATTTTTTTATATACATGCTTACATAAGCACTTTATAATGCACCACAAAGTTCATATAATGTTCACAGTCATTCGGACAGACTGTAATACATTGCAGGAAGTGAAGGGGGCGATATATATATTCTATTGTTTTGGAAAACCATAAAACAAGAAATAATGGTGGCCAAAGAAGGTAGAGTGGACAGATTAGTCAGTGCATTAAATAATAGTTAACAGAGGATTCACAAGTGTTCACACACACACACACACACCCACACACACCCACACACGCACTCAGAAACACACAGAAACACCCGATGTCTCATAAGGCGGCCTGTCACCCTGACTATGAGCTCCTGAAGTGTCCTGATAAGCTGCTGTCCTTCAACACGCCTGAGGGGGAAGCTCATTGTGAAAGTATTTGAGCCTGGTGACCTCATGGCTGACGCTGACTGCTGATTGGTCAGTTTCATTTGATTGTTATGAGAAGAACTGCTGGAATCTCTGCTCTCAGTGTCCTCAAACACTAAACATGGAGTCGTTCCTGACTGGATAATCACAGACACACTAAGATTCATATTGAAAGGCATCATCTAGAGCTGCATAGTTCAGAAGCTACAGTCAGAAACTGCTATTGCAACACTGAGTTTGAGAGGGACTGATGCTAAATTCTGGTCAGATCCTTTTTGGGGAATTGGAGTCACTCCATGGCCTCTGATCTTTTGTTCAAAAACAGCAGCAAGGGCCAGCACTCTCGAAGAAAAATATAATACTAGAACCGAGAAGACTGGGGAAAAGGCCTAGACAGGACTGGCTGATAGGGCTTATTATTCTGTACTGATCATCGTATCCTCATCAGTGTGATGTTGATTTAACAGCTGAGACCTAAACATCGAGCCAAACCACCTTTCTGAGGCTGTGCGCGTGGCGTTAATACATGAAGATGTACGATGTCCCACGAAATCCGACCTGACGCCTCCATTTAAATCATTTCAGACATTGCAGGGCAACTCACAGTGCTTTCCTACTGATTCAGTAACGCTGCTACTAAGTTAATTTATTCCTTCAATTTGTAGTATTTTGAAGTGGAAACTGCTCACTGGGT